TTGTTGTTTTCCCTCATAAAAAGTTAAAATCTTTCCTAGGCTTAAACATTCCTGATGATCTTTTGCCTTTTTCCTGCACTAACCTCCTTGACATTGACTTTGGATATTCTTGACCTACTTCACTCCACTACTACCACATTTGGTTCTTTGCTTTTCCTGGAACACTCTACGCAAGCAGTCATTTCAAGGACTGGAGAACAACTCTTCCATTAGTCGGGAATGTGGGAATGCTGGTTTGCACATAGTTAGGATGTAATTTGGTATAGGAGGTCCTTCTGTCTATTTGTTGTTTTCATTAATGAATAAAGAAACTGCCTTGGCCTGTTGATAGGGCAGAACTTAGGTAGGTGGGAAAGACTGAACTGAATTCTGGGAAGAAGAAAGCAGAGTCAGAGAGACACCATGGAGCCACCAGAGTCAGACATGCTGAATTTTACCCAGTAAGCCACTGCCACATGGCAATATACAGATTAATAGAAATGGGTTAAATTAATATAAGAGTTAGCCAGTAAGACCTAATGGGCCAAGCAGTGATTTAATTAATGCAGTTTCTGTGTCGTTATTTAGTGGCTAAGCTAGCCAGGTGGCCGGGATGAACAAGTGGGCCTTCCTCCTACAGTAGTTCATGTTTTTACTTTTGGTATATAAAAAGGTTGCTCTCTAAATGAGGTCCTGACCAAAATTGCATATGTGAACACACACACACACACACACACACACACACACAGCTCTCCCATTTACAGTAAATGTCTTTTTGACTTGAAGTACTTGCCTTCATGTATAATGCATTCTTTTTAAAAATAATTTTATTTATTTATTTATTTTGTATCTCAGCCACAGTGTCCCCTTCTCCTTTCCTCCTAGTCCCTACCCTCTACCTCCCTTCTGCCCTCCCCTAATCACTCCTCCTTTATTTATGTTCAGAAAAGGGCGGGCCTCCCATGGATATCAACAAAACATGGTGTATCAAGTTGCAGTAAGACTAAGCACCTCTCCTTGTTTTAAGGCTGAGCAAAGCAACCCAGGATGAGGAATAGGGTCCCAAAAGCCAGCAGAAGAGTCAGAGACAGCATTTTGGGGTCAGATACAATCCTGGCACAAGTGAATCTCCCAGAAATCTACAAGGATGACCCCAGTTAAGACTCCTAGCAATAACAGATATGTAGCCTGAACTGGTCATCTCCTGTGATCAAATTGGTGCCTGGCCCAATTGTCATCAGAGAGGCTTCATCTAACAATTGATGGAAGCAGATGCAGACTCATAGTCAGACGTTAGGAATCATTTGGAGAAATCCTGTAGAAGAGGGAGAGAAAGAATTATAGTGCATTTTTATGTAGTATTATGTGCTGGTCATTTGTATTACCTCCTTGAAAATTTAATACTTACATTTTTGTGTTTTCTTCACTGCTATGTGACTATAAAGACCAGTAAAGTGCTTGGGTTTCAGTTGTGCCATGAATGTTGTGGGAGTAACCAACCACTTTCTGGTTTGATTTAAAGCCCACTCCACATGATGAAACTCAAACTTGGCATCATTTTGGGCCAAGAACCTATGGTTAGACAAATCATAGGTCCTAGGAGAGACATGCCATTCTACCCATAGATTAATGTATCTCTCAACCCTCATCATAGAAGCTTCAATTTGTAGTAAATGGTGATTAACATCTAAATGGGACATTTATATCACATCCTCTTTTTCTCAAAGCTCAGGGATTATTATGAAAGAGTGTGAGAGCCAGAGGAATGGATGACTGTGATGTCTTCTGTACACAGTAGGGCTCCTGCACACACACACACACAAAAAAAAACCTCACAATGGTTCTGACAGCAAGCACAAGACCTGTGCTAGCTGAACCCATAGAAAATCTTAGGCATGAAGTTCCACCCAGAGCCAAGGAGCTATTGGCAGTTGTTAGCTGCTTGAAGGGGAAGGGGCAATTATCCCTAAAAACATAAGACAACCACAGTCCAATTGAAGGCCTTACATTCAAGGATATTTGGGAAGCCCAAATTGGTCTTGATGGTGGAATAAAGAAGGATACAAAATTGGATGGGAAGTAAAGTGGAGTGGGCATAGGAAAATGTAAGGGAGAGGGAACGAATATGATCAAAATGTACAAAATTTTTGAAGAAACTACAAAAATTAAAAAAGAAGTAATATTGAGGCTGAGAGGAGTATCCTTTTCAAGGGTGACATGTGATAGGGGACAAACTGGCAAACTGTCCTTAATGACCTAGGGCCCACTGGTTTCTCTGACTATATCTTCTCATCGATACTCGAATACTTACGGAACTTGAATAAATGAAGTCCCCCAAAGACCTTAAGTAGACGGCTACAGTAACAAGTTCCATGTCTCTGAGTTGAGTGAACAGGACATTCTGTGACTAGAATTGAACAATGGGGCTTGTTAATGCAGTGTTGTAGCCTTGACTTTGAATCTTAGGTAAGCTGCTTTTGTTTACTGAGGCTGAACTCCATCCTCTGTAAATGAGATACGTGTAAGCTTGCCATCCATGAGCAACAGAAGCTCTTTCTCATACCCTACTCTATCAAATGCTTAGGACAGGACCCCAAAATCTGCATGTTTAAAATTTTCACACAGTCCTGATGACTATAAGAATTCTAGGGCTGCTTCATCTGCTCATTAAAGACAACATGCATTTGTGTAGGGGTTGAGGATCGTCATGATGTACTATTAATCATAGACTGATTGCAGCTGAAAGGAGAACTAGTTAGAACTGCTCACCATCATTGCTGAGTCACTTGCATGATCTTTGCCTACCTCTTTTGAAAAAGTCACAGCTGGAAAGAATGTCCAGCCTTTACAATTTGCTAAGTTCTTACTGGGGGTGATCAGAGACAAACAAAGAAATGCTCTCTGACTTTCAAACACTGCCAGCTCACACCTCCCACATGTACAGGTTCAATGCCTATGGGGCTGAGGGAAAAGGAGGGGGAGGGTGCAAAGTTCTAGTGCTTTTCTGATGCTTATTCAGAAGGAGGATGGTCAGCAGTTTCAGTTCATAGGATTAGTGGAATGATGCCAAATCCCTTCGGCTCAGGTTCTGTGGCTACAACAAAAGTGGTATACAAATATGTTTCAGTTGGCAGGAAAGGAATCTATCTTAGAGCCCTGACTCAGAAATCATAGTCAAGATAAGCAGTTATGTGTTTTCTTATAATTTTATTACAATGAAATTATAGAAATTTTGTAGGAAATTAGCAATCTCAATATAATTCACCTTCCTGTCTATCGCAGTATTTGAGTGCACCCTTCTATGCCCACAAAATGTATTCTCCACCAGGAAAACTACATACAGGTTTATTGAATTACTGTATTCTCAAAAAATCTTCAGTTGACACAATATTGGATAATGTACTATTTTTGAGAGATTATTCTATTTATAAAAAAATCAGGAAACTGGGCAGAACAGGATTGTGATTTGTGTAGTAACAGATTTAGTAAAATAGAGTCTCTATACTGGACAATCACCCACGTAAGCTTCGTAATTCATAAATTTCACATATCCTAAATAGTACAATCATTGTTACAAGCGAAGAACATTTTATCACCCTCAAAAGAAATCTATGCCATTTATATATCATGAACCCTACTCCAACTATCCCGTCCTGCCATATGCAATCACTATCCAATTTCTTTTACCACAGCTGAACACTTTGGGACATTTTATATCAATATTATAATATAGTCTGAGATCTTTTATGGCTGTCTTATTTCACATTAATATAAAATGTATCAAGCTGATGTATGTGGCACATAGACTACTACTTTGTTCCTTTAGTGGCCAATAAAATTCTATCATATGAATTAGCATATTTTGATTATATATTGGTCACTTGACAGAAATTTAGGTGTTTATGATTTCTTTAATTATGTTTTTAAATTAAATATGTAAATATGTGGGCTGGAGAGATGATTCAGTGGTTAAGACCTGAGTTAAGGTCTCAGCGCCCAAGTCAGGTGGCTTACATCTGCCTGTAACTCAGCTGTCTTCTGGCCTCCTCTGGCACTGCACTTGCATATGCATATCCTCTGACACAATTGAAAACAGCAAATACTTAAAAATATGTAAGCAGGCCGGGCGGTGATGGCGCACACCTTTAATCCCAGCACTCGGGAGGCAGAGGCAGGTGGATCTCTTTGAGTTCGAGACCAGCCTGGTCTACAGAGCTAGTTCCAGGACAGGCTCCAAAGCCACAGAGAAACCCTGTCTCGGAAAAACCAAAAAAAAAAAAAAATGTAAGCAGGTATTTAGTGATACTAATATAAAATGGTTTATATTCAACATACTTTCTTATCAAAATGGTTATTCAAAATACTTTCTTATCAAATTTCCAGGGGCACAAAGTAATGGGTCGGTGTGTATACAAATTGAAAATACAATCCTAACATATTTACGGAAATGAAAGGGCACAGTAATAACCAAAACAGTCTTGAAGAAGAGCAACATTGGATAATGTTACAAGATATAATATATAATAACTCAGACCAACATAACAGAATAGGCACCAGATATTAATCCATGCAAATATTGTCATTTTATTTACGATCATGGTTTTATTGCAATGTTGTATTCATTTGGTATCTATTTGGAAAAATATAAATTGATATGTATGATATGTATATCACATTGTTAAATCAATTACACAGGTATTGCATATTTAAATATGAGATGTAAATCAAATCCAGGGAAGGAAGACATCTAAATGTGTAATAGCCTCAGAATACAATCAAAAGCATCTTCACCACATTGGCACAGGGAACATATTTTAAAATACCACAAAATGGTAGAAATATTTATGCCATACTCAATAATATATACAGAGAACATATAAATATTTTTATTTTATTTAGAATTTCTTGAGTATAATTGTTTATTATCAGAGACAGAAATACAGAAACCTAAGAAGAAAATGAGCAAATGTAACTTAGTGTTAGTAAATATATCTTTATTAACTGAGATACTGGGGCTAGAGTAGATGGCTCAGTTGGCAAAAGTGCTTGATATGCAAGTATAAGGATCTAAGTTTGATCTTTAGCACCCATATAAAATATAGGAATAGGTATCTATAATCTCAATGCTAAGGAGGAAGACACAGGAGGTTTCTTAGGCCTTGTTGGCCAGTTAGCCTAGCCTAATTGACTAATTCAAGGTTCCAGTGAAAGATCTTAACATGCTCTCAGAAGACATTATGGTGATCAAGAAAGTCATATGCTAAAGAACACACACTTTACATATTCAATATATATAAAAAATAAAAGCACATCTTCTTTAATGGTGCTAGAAGCCTCTATAGTGGATTATGTGCTCAAGACATACAATTACTGGAATGAACCAGAAGGACTTTAGAGAGTTGATCAGATCTCTATTCTGAGACAGGTGTTGGTAACAAGAATATGTTCATTGAGCTAAACTCTTCGGCTCTGTTCATTCTTCTGTGTGTCTTGGTAATTCAACAAAAATGTTTTTAATTATGTTTATTACTAGTCCCTTGGATTTAGGGGAAATTAAGGAGGATGCAATATCATAAATTTATCATGAGTTTGTGGTTAGAACTGAGTTGAGTAGGAAGTCAGGAATTTATTCTATTTCTTCTATATTTTATCAAGTAAAATTTCCTTCACAGTGTTTTAAACAGAAGTCTCGGTATGTTTGAGTCCATTTCCATTTGAAAATTCTAGTTATACACAAAGCTCTTAAATTGAGTCTAATCTTTGCAAAAAAAAAAAAACTGATTGACTAAGTATGAGAATTTGGAGAATTTCAAAATTGTACTTCTTAAGGTACCCTATTACTAGGCGTTAGACAATCCCAACTTATTTTTGGTGACAATTTCCCCATGCTTTGCCACAACGTGAAAATAATTACTAATTTTCAAATCTATAATGTCAATATCCTTGGTCCAGCCACATAGTAGTTAGTAATTTGCTGCAAAGCACACTGCTTTTAAGATATAATTCCATTTTAATGGGGGTGAAACTAAACTGTTATACAAGAGATCCACCAGTAGCTTGACTGAAACAACAACGTGGTTTCTTTCTCTTACACTCAATAGACTTGATCTGAGCAGTCTTCTTGAAAAGTGCTGCCGCACTGTTCGGGTTTCTTCCAAGTTGTTACTTCAACATTCACTGTGACATCGATCTTGTCTAGTCCAATGTGAGTGTCCACCATAAAGGAAGGCCAACTGGTAGGAAGGGAGAAGACTATAAAAAGAGAAAATGTGATATTAGAATTAATGCTTTGCAAAGACAAGGACACACATCACTTTTCCTTGTACTCCATTAGTGGTAATGGACTCATATGACAATATCTAAGTGGAAAGGATTCCTGGACCTGTGGGTTTGATGGGCATTCACTTGCTCAGCCACCATTTTGTCAGCATTAAAAGAAAGGAAATAAGACTCAGGTGCACAGTTAGCAGCTTGGGCCACATCAGTTCCACTTTTCTTCTGCCCCACACATGACACTAGTCTGAACCTTTTGCTTCAATTTATGACTAAAGATATTGCTCCAGCTTATCTAGCAGACATGTCCTTGGCCCTTGTCACACTTAATTCCCAAATATCACAGTGTGAATTTGGAGCTTCAGTGGAAATAGAAATGAAGAAGAACTTAAACTTGCCTGATAATATGTGTGGCAAGCTTGAGTCTAGAGACCCCATCTTTTCATTTCAAACATTTGATTTTTTTAGTCATCTTAAGTTCTGTATATTCTTTCTTCTAAAGATCACCTGATATATATTTCTTAATTCCCCTCAAACCAAGCTCCTTAACCCCTTCAATTCTGGGTTCAGCACATACTTTTACACAGAATTTGTGCTGCCCTGAAATTCCTGTCCAGAGAGTATATAACTTCTCTGGTGCCCAGCAGCCACACTAGTTTGCCATAGAGGAGGTTGGGTGGAGGTGCATGCCTTTAATCCGAGAACGAGAGAGGAATATAAGGCGCGATGGGATAGAAACTCACTCTCTTTTCACTCTGAAGATTTCGTAGAGGTAAAGAGCTCTCTAGTGGTTAGTTGCTTTGCTTCTCTGGTCTTTCAGCTTGAACCCCAATATCTGTTTCTGGGTTTTTATTAGTTGTGCAGCATAATCCAGAGTGCTAGTTTTAAAGTTAAACCTGAGTATGCCATTTGTATTGGTTTGCTAGGACTGCCATAACCAAATGTCATAAACTGTGTGGCTTGAAAAACAAAAACAAAAAAAAAATAATTTCTCTCATCATTCTGAAGGCCAGAAGTCCATGATGAAGGTGTATTCAGAGTTAGTTTCTTTGAAGACATGTCTCCTTGGCTAGTACATGGTCAAATTTTCTGTGCATCTTCAGGTGGTCATTTCCTTCTGTGCTGATCTGTGTATTAATTCTCTCTTTTCAAAACTTCAAAGGGCTCAAATGACTTACCAAGTATGTGTTGGACATTAATGAGCATATATTGCTGTAATTATCTCTTTAAAAATTTATCTTTAAAATTAATAACATTCTATGTCTTCCGGGTGAGGACTTGGGCATACTAAGTTTGGGGTACCATATGCATTTCATAATAATAGTGTTCTGTTCAAAACATATTTAATGGTTCCCCCATTGCATTCATCGTGTAAATTAATATTCTTTTACTAGCTCCAAAAACACTTTATGATCTGGTCCTTTTTACTCTCCCCTTTGCCCATTCTACTTCGGCACAGTAAAATAATTGTCATATCTCATATATACAATTCACCAAGTAAGTACTCACTTTCCTGAGAGCATCCATGCTTTCTAGAATGTCCCCACCTCATTTGTGTGTGTGTGTGTGTGAAGATTCCTTTCATCTAGATCTTTGTAACCACAGTATCCTTAGCAAACTGGGTATATGTCTTGGCAGCAAAGTGCTTACTTTTCAGATGCCTCTGTTTAAAGGAAGAAAAATAGAGCTGTGTATGTGGTGGTGCACACCATTGTGATTTCAGCACTGGGAAGATGCAGACAATCAGCCTAGTTTATTATATGATCCCCAGGACAAATGAGAGGTCCTGTCTCACTCAAAGAACAACTCCAATTGGATTCAACATTGTGTGTGTGTGTGTGTGTGTGTGTTAGCAATAACTAAAGAAGAGATCATGAAATGGAGAGAAAATGGAGGGGATATAGGAAGAGTTGAAGGGTGGAGAATGTGGGTGGAAATGGTATAAATACAGCACTCATGCATGAAATTATCAAAAAACAATAAAATAATTATTTAAAAAAACAAGTAGACTGTGCCTGAGGAATGTCACTTGAGGATGATTTTCTGCCTCTAGACATACATGCATCTACACACACATGTACATAAAATCATAACATCTAATTAAAAATACTGATGTGCAGTATAACATCTCTATCATACTTCTCTGCTTTACTTGTGTTTGTCCCATATTCAATAGTCTCATAGTTCATATCTTCTTGTACAAAATCTAAGCTTCTTAAGGTCAAGGAGCTTTCTGTGGTAATTTCTTCTATGTCCTTGGGAGACTTCATCTGGTTTTTGTTAAGTGCCCAGGAAAGATTTGCTGAGGGAAATGGAGGCAGAAAGAGAAGTATTCAGAATAACTGGAATTTGGATCATAAAGTCCAAGTTCTCCACCACAGGATTTCATACACAACTAAAAAGCTTTAGTTTACATGATATTATATAAAAAACATATGTATTTAGTTAGAGCTGGGCTTGGTTGTATACATTTGTAAATCTAATGCTTGTGAGGTGGAGGTAAAAACATTGCAACAAGTTCAAGTTCAGTTTTATTAAGACAGTAAAACAAGGCAAAACCATAAAAAATATATGCACCTAAATATTAATCTTAAAATGGCCCTACCCAACTGTGGACCTCAATATCTACAATAATTATTTGAGTGACAAGATATGTCTACTGGTGCAATCATGACATAGGTAGGGGGAAGCCCTCTACTATTGTTCACTAAACAGATATGTTGTCAAAATCTCTAAATATGTACATCTATAGATTAGTGCTGCTCTTAACCTTGGCCAGAGAAGCTTCTTCTTATAATAGGTGGTGTTAATGCTTAGATTCCTAACTAGTCAAAGTGCAGGCAGTATGTGACTGTGGGGTATTTGGCTTAAATAGGACACCTACAGCACTTCCCCAAGGCACAGACAGCATTGCTGGAGATGGGACAGAAAAATGCAATAGCCAGAGGTTCTGGAGATGTGCTGCTGACCAGTCATAACAATAATGGACTCAGTGCAGCAATATTTACCAGCATAAGCCCTGAATAAAACTAGACCAGCTACTATTCATCAGTATTAAGGGAGGGGAACATGAGGACCCACTTCTCGCTAAGAGACAATGAGTAGTTAACAGGTACTGGGGGATAGAGTGTCATTCATCTCAGTAGTGTAAGTCACTGAAAAATTTCTCATGTTTCAGTAAATAATCCTCTCCTATTGAGGCTCATGCAAACAACCTTAATTTTAACCTCAGTAGGTTAAAAGAACAAAAGACATCAAGGTTGGTGGGATACCTCAGCTTTGTCCAGCCTGAAGACCTGACCTTGATCCCCAGAACATAGTTTAAGGAGAGAACTGACTCTAACACATTGTCCGCTGACCTATACATATGTCACACACACACACACACACACACACACACACACACACACACACACACAGAGAGAGAATAAATAAATGTAAATTTTTATATTAAATTTAAGACGATATCAAGGTTTTTTTTCAGCTCACAGAGTGAAAACTTATTACATAGATATATAAAATTGCCAAGGAAGTTTAAAAAGAAAGAAACAGCAATAAAAAGTACAGTTCATGAGGTTTAGAGGTTTATACAGGAGTATGAATTTGAGGACAACCTGCTGTACATAGTTTTCTCTAAGAAACCTAAGCTACAGTGTGAAATCAATCTAGGGACATTCTCTGTAGGAGCAAAGTGAATACATGTCAGTAGTAACAGTAAAAACAACTGTCCAGGCAAAGGGCAAGAAGCAAATTTCTAGAAAGTCAGAAGTGAGCAGTCAGTGCTTACACATGGCTGGCATATTTGGTCTCATGAAAGCAGAAAACTGGGAGATTATGTTTTCCTTGTAATATGGTTTAATTATCTACTTCCATAGCCTTGATGCTGAAGATGGTTCAGTGCAGCCTGCAAAGCTCTCCTTCCACTCCAGCACATCCTGTGAATTTTCACTGTGTTTTGTTTGCCAACCAGGCAAACTGTAGCCACAGCTACTCCCTATGACCCACTAGGCAAGACAGCAGGCCTCAGAAGGAAGGACGAATGGACCTGAACTGAAGCTGTGTTAAACTTGCCAGGCACTGGCTCCTAGAACTCAAAGCCCTGCAGTCTATACTACTGGAACAATTCAAGATTCAAATAGAAAGGCCTCAGGATGGGACAGGGAGGGAAGTCAACACTTCATTCAGTATTCATCCAGGGATTGAAAACATGAAACATTTAAGAGACTCATAATCCCAAATGCTAGACAGAACCAAGTGACTTCCTTGGAAGCCCAGAGGGGAAAGGTTATTGTGGGGAGAACTGGGAAAGGTGCAGTTGCAGTACCTAGGATTGACAGCCTAGAACAAGTTCAAAGACAAATGGACCCAGATCCCAGTAGGGACCCTAATGTAGAGACTGCACATCTACTTACATAAAAGCTCCAGAGCATCGTCCTCTGCCCAACTGTCCACTGGCTTTCCACAGAAGCAATGACAATTGCCAGAACTGCTACTTATTACTTCTGTTCAGCTAGCTGATTTGCTGTTGGAAGAACAGCAGGAGATGTGTGACAATTAGCACTGGAAGACATACATTTTGGGGTGCCAACCTTGGAAACTAAAGGTCACCCAGGCACTGAACCCTCCCTCACCATTCACATCCATCAAATCATCAACTACCAGGTTGAGATGAATATATAATAAACTTTCTGACTCTTCCCTCCTTTCCCCCTTTAATGATCTGGCTAAGACTCTTAATGTCCTTGTCCTGAAATATTGCATTAGAGATCTAACTCAGTGACCTCTGCTTTAACTCTCATCTCTTCAAATCAGCATTCGCCATCAAAGCCAGACTTACTATTCAAAACCACAAAACTGACCATGCCAAACTTTGGTCCTTAAATATTTTCTGCTTCCCATTCTGCAATACAATGAACCAAAGAATGGAATTAAATTCTTCTTAGAGTGGTGGGACTTCACAACATAAATGACACCAGAGATCCCTGAGATAGCTTACTTTCACTTCTCATGATGTTTTCCTAACACAGCTTCCCACAGAATTCACTTGCTGACTTTGAAACAGTCATAATCCTAAAGGAGCACATATATCAGATAGAAGTGTAAGTTAAACATCAGATGGTACGGGGATCACTTCTTGCTTTTCAAGTTCTGTCATTAAAGAAAACTATCTACAATATGATGTCTATGAGCTGGTTGTCAGTCACATTATTCTGAATTAAGTAACCCAGCAGCCTACATATATCTTTGCTTCCTGTTATAAATTTTGTGTAGCCTGTGTGATTAAGAGTTTTCATTTATAGCTTAAAACACCACAAATGATCCAACACTATAGCTGATTTGAACAGAGACATAGCCTAAATATGCAAAGTAACTAGCATTCTTCTTAAATAAATGAACACAAAAGCCAGCATTCAGAAGAGGAAAGTGAGTTTTGAAGAACACCCTGGAAACCCTGTGGCTTATTTCACTGGCTGCAATCTGTGTAGTTTTGGTTACTGGATGTAATGAGTAAACCCTGCCACTACCTTCTGATTTTGCTGTTTTGTTTCTGTCAGTTTGGAATTTGGATTTTTCACAGGATAACTACAATTGTGTGTGAACTAAGTATAAATGGAATGAGTGGATTTCCAAGAGCTTGATTTTGAAGAAATGGGAGAATCTAATCTTTGGTTCATATTTAAGAGGTGTTAGGAGAATTAAGATGTGCCAAGTGCTTATTTTGTTATGGAAATGCACATTGACTATCACTGTGTCTTTGTGTGAATATGCATGCTTGTACGTGTGTGTGTGTGTGTGTGTGTGTGTGTATCTGTGTGCCTGTGTGTCTGTGTGAGGGGAGGAGGGAGGAGAGACCATATCTATATTAGGATAGTAGGGACAGGAACAGAGTCTCTAATGTCATTCAAGTTTAAATGTTTTGTCCCAAAGATCTCCTGAGTAAATTGGGAGCATGGGGACCATGGGAGAGGGTTGAGGGGAGGGGAGGGAGAGGGAAGGGAGAAGAGAAAAATGTATAGCTCAATAAAATCAATAAAAAATGTTTTGTCCTAGAAATTTTAGAATAGAAAAGCAAGGGAAGATTTGTTCTGTGACTGTTTCTGAGGAGTCATGAACAAATGCCTTCTCACCCCAGACATGACACTGATTGATGGTAGACAAAGAGACAATTCCACCCAAGTTGATCTGGGTGAACCAATGCATTTCTTGGCATTACACACAGAAGCATGTGTGAGGGATTAATTACAGTGGGCTCTGCATTCTTGGTTCCCACTAAGTTTGAATGGCCACTCATGACAGACTGTGGAAGGAACTCCTAGGTCTGTAGGAGGCTAGAGCTGGTTTCATCAAATCCTTACAGCCCTGTTATAGCCCATCATACTAGGCTCTTGAAAAAAGAAAAGTTCACATCTCCAGTCCTCCCTCAAACCCTTTCAATTTCACAGAGTGCACTAGCCCTATTAATTTAGATCTGAGGTCCAACTGACTTGATGATGTATCAGAAAAGATAAATCACTTGTTAATTACAAGGCCATATCTAGACTGAAACTACATATTTGCCTGTTAAGCACACACCAATGGCTTCTGGCACAAATTCCTTTTGTATAGCTGGATTTAATAGCAGAGCTTTCATCTGAGTGGCCTCTTGAAGCACCTCACAGCATTTGATCACGACCAACCCTCTAATTGTTACTACTGATCAACAGCTAGAGCCACGGGTATTATGCACTCAGCAATTGAGTTTCCAAAGCTCTGGAAGGAAAAACACTTTTCTTTAAATGAGCTATATTTGACCAGGGCACCAGAAGAAAATGATCCTTCTGACAATGTAGGCAAGAGATTCCCATCTTTGGTCTTTAACCTTCAAATTAAGGAAGCAAGGCTTGAGAAGACAAGAAAAATATGCTATTCAGTGTGGCAACCTGGTTTCATCTTTACCTGGAAAATTCTCCTGCTTGAAGACACGGTTGACACATCTTTTTCTTTCTATAAGACCTTTGGAAAAGTCTTTCTTAGAGTTAGCTAAATAACTTCAGCTTCTCTGAGTTAATCAAGCTCAGAAGTCATGTCCCCTGAACTCCAAGCTCAGGAAAATAGGCAAGCCAGTAAACCATCCAGAATATTTGGTGCAAAGTCCTGCAGCTCTGAAGGATGAGTCATCTGCTTTTACCACCACTTGAAATAAACGATAATGGCTTGGCAGCCTCTTGTATATTAATAGCCTTGTCATTTTACCTTCCTCCTGCTCTCTTTATTCCACATTGAAATTATAGATGGCAAAAGTGGTTTCAGATTTGATTGCGTTACCTTTTTTTTAACTGCCCAGAAATTCCAATAGGAGTCCAAAATGTTCCCTACACCCTGTCCAGATTGAGTTTCTCTGGTTATCTCCTGTTGTAGTTCTTGGCTACATTATCAGTTTCAATGTCTCTGTAGCATTTAGTGTTGAGAATAATCAGAACTATTTTCGTGTCTGTGCATTACCTGTTTCCTGTTTTATGATTGTCTTTCCTGAAGACAAAGGCTTGTCCAGCTTTTATTAGATGCCAGAGAGCCCCTATGAGAAAGCGAGGCAGCAGCTGTCTGTACTATATACCAGAGTGATACACAGGAGAGGGAGGTGTTGGAACAGTAGAAGTACTTTAAGAAAATGAGGATCCTCCCTGTACACAGGAGCTTTGACATATACAGACCCTTTCCTCCCAAACCCTGCTTCAAACAAAAGGGGCTCAGTTCCATCTTTGGCCCACCTCAGACTTTTATTAAGTATAAAGGGTTAAAGTGGGCTAGAGAGATGGCCTAATGACTAAGATCACTGGCTGCTGTTGCAGAAGACCTAGGTTTGATTGCCAGCATCCATAACTATCCACTTGTTCCAATGGCAATGGGTTTTGATCCTACTGCACGTACTGGCTTTGTGGGAGCCTAGGCAGTTTGGATGCTCACCTTACTAGACCTGGATGGAGGTGGGTGGTCCTTGGACTTTCCACAGGGCAGGGAACCCTGATTGCTCTTTGGGCTGACGAGGGAGGGGGACTTGATTGGGGGAGGGGGAGGGATATGGGAGGCGGTGGCGGGGAGGAGGCAGAAATCTTTAATAAATAAATAAAAAAAAACTATCCACTTGTTCCAGAGGATCTGATACCCTCTTCTAGCCTCCACGTGTTCCAGGCAAGCAAGTGACGCACACCCATACATGAAGGCAAAAACCTCATACACATAAAATAAAATAGGACAAAATGAAATAAAAACAAATCCTTTAAAAACAAAGAAATGAAATCCTGGATGTTTGCTATGAATAGTCCTTTCCTTGACGTAGTTAGTGTGTTCACTTTGCTCATGAGGTGGGTCGCTTCTGGGGCCTCTAAGACACGGGAAAGGCGACTAGCCCTTTGTGACTACCTGTCTGATACTGAATCTGAGGCAGGAAGAGTGATGAGGTAGGGTTTAGGGAAACCCATTTGACTGTAACATTAACTCTTCATTATCTATTAGGGTTTAATTAGGGTTTCTTTTGCTACAAAGAGACACCATGACCACAGCAACTCTTATAAACAAAACATTTAATTGGGATGGCTTGCTTATAGTTTCCAAGATTCAATCAGTTATCATCATGGCTGGGCCATAGCGGCATGTAGGCAGACATGGTGCTGGAGAAGTAGCTGAAAATCAACTGAGACTCTGGGTGGTTCCCTGAGCATAAGAAAGCTTCTGTAAAGCAAAGGACATGGACAACAACACAAAACGGCAGCCTACAGAATGGGAACAGATTTTCACTAACCCCACATCAGACAGAGGGCTGATCTCCAAAATATACAAAGAACTCAAGAAATTGGTCATCAAAAGAACACATAATCCAATAAAAAATGAAATACAGACCTAAACAGAGAACTCTCAACAGAGAAATGTAAAATGGCTGAAAGACACTTAAGGAAATGTTCAACATCCTTAGTCATCAGAGAAATGCAAATCAAAAAACTGAGATTCCATCTTACACCTGTAAGAATGGCCAGATAAAAAACACTGATGACAACTTATGCTGGGGAGGCTGTGGGGAAAAGGGAACACTTCTGCATTGCTGGTGTTAATGCAAGCTGATACAACCCCTTTGCATGTCAGTGTGGCGATTTCTCAGAAAATTAGGAAATAACCTTCCTCAAGACCCAGTAATACCACTTTTGGATATATATCCAAAGGATGCTCAATCGTACCACAAGGACATGTGCCCAACTATGTTCATAGCAGCTTTGTTTGTCATAGCCAGAACCTGGAAGCAACCTAAATGCCCCTTAACAGAAGAATGGATAAGGAAAATATGGTACATTTATACAATGGAGTACTACACAGCAGAAAAAAATGATGACATCTTGAATTTTGCAGGAAAATGGATGGAGCTAGAAAACATTATTTTAAGTGAGGTAATCCATGTACTCACTCGTAAGTGGTTTTTAAACATAAATCAAAGAAAACCAGCCTACAAACCACAATCCCGGAGAACTTAGACAACAATGAGGACACTAAGAG